AACACCAGTGTCTAGGAACACCTCCTTAACCTCGGCACAACTAAAGGTCTTCATTACCACTTTGACTTCTGTTTGCAGTGCTGATTTAATACAGTAGTAAGAAAGAGTTTGCACATCTTCAGCAGAATGATTAGCAAAATTTCATTCCATCAAAATACATGCAACTGGTACATTTGCAGAAATGGAAAGGACTCTGAGTTGATGATGACAGGGAAAGGAAGCATCTTGTTCCCATAAAATGAGTGGGTTTGGTCTGGAAGTGCAGGATTAAATTCTATGACATTAGGTTCATGAGTGACTTCTATTATTTATTGGTCGTACTGTGGTATTGCTGCTAGAGATGTTAATGTAAGGATCTCTGTGACATAAGAGCCACTTTTCAGAGTGCAAACGTCACTAAGGGCCATGGTATTTGTAGCATTACATAATATTTAAAAAGCTGTTGAGTGACATATCCAAATACCAATTACAAATATGTTCTACTAACCTTTTTTATCTAGCTTTGACAAACTTAAGTTCACTGTCTAAGAGCTAATTATACAAGATTATGTACTCCAGGAGATTCATTGCTGATGGCAAACAAGGTAGCTGTTAGAGGCTACTGCTGTTTAATTTTGTACCTTAAACAAAACTCAGTGTAAGCAATTTCATCCTACACAAAGAAAGAGTCTCCCTTTCACAAAAATTTAGAACACAGAATTTATCTTTGTTTAAAATTTCTAAATAGTAAATTTGTATTAAATGCTAAACACTTATTTAAGGAGTAAATGATCAAAAGCCACATTTGCTTTCATTTAATGAGGATTGTAACGCATGTTTGGAATAAGGGATATATATTACTGTACAGTATTGCAATTAGTGTGCACTGGATTGTAGGGCCACAAAAAGAAAAATATGGAGAAGTTGTTTAAATTTTAATCTTTCAGATTGAGCAAATCCATGGAATGTCACACTTAAAGATTTTTCAGGCACGACTAGATTCCCAAACAAAGCAGGAGTGATAACTTACATAATGAAGTGGCCAGAATATGAAAACAAGACAAAAAGATTTTGATGAGCAAAAGATAAATATCTATCTTTCTCATTAGCTGGACTATTTGCAGCGTAGGGTTTCATGCATTCAGTTTGTGCTCATGCACTGCATTCTCTACGCACACACAAACATCTACTTCAGCGGGAGTTTTGCAAGAGGCTCCCCACCTCCTTTTGGAGACTAAGCTTTGGGATAGGAATATATATACTACTCACTTGTCTTTATATGCTAAATGGAAGCCTGTGTTCTGTTTCAGCAAGGAAGCGTACACTGCTCTGGACTCAGGAGATACTGGCTCCTGTGCAGCGCCTTTCTGGGAAACTGTGTTTAGTAAGATGCTCTTGAGAGTGAAAATGAAATACAAATTATGTTAGGTGAGCAGTAGCCGGTAAAGGAAGCCACATGGCCCATTTGGTTTCTCTTTTTGGAACTGTTCCAATTCAGATATAATTAATGGCATAAGCAAGAGAAAATCCCATTTTGTTTGAGAGCAATGCAGCCAGTTCCAAAGGGGAATATGAAGAGAAGCGTGATGAAAAGCAGAGAGGCAGTTGGTTAGGTGAGTTCCAGAGAGACTCACTGAGAAGTCACATAAACCATCTATCTGGTGCAGCATGTTCATTGAAATTCAAACATTTCAAATGTTCATTAAAAACTTTATGGGTAGGTTATGGGGTTTGTGGTTATTTATTTTAAATTACAAATGGCACATTTAAATTTTGCAGGTTGGGGTTTACCATGTGACAGCACCAAGGTAAATGAAAGAAATGGGCAGGAGTTTACAAATAATCTGCAGATATAAATTCACAGCATAATGCATGTTCCTCATTGCCTTTACTGCAAGTGTGACTTGGTTATGTTAAAACTCCATCACTGCTTTATAGAAATCACATAAGAGGTGAAATGCAACATTATCTTCTTTGCCGCTTGACAGAACTTTCAAAAGTAAATATGGTCTAATTCAAGACAGTAACCAAAAGCTCAATGTAACCAAAACTACATGCAATTTGCGTTTGGTTATAGATTGTACATTCTGGGTTTTCTGCCCCAATTCTTGTTCCAGAGAGTAATTAGAGAAGTTGTGTTATGCCTTGGGGAATAATTCAAGGCTTGATACTGAAAGAAATACTTGTTCCCCCAGCAGAATAGGTCTAAGAGTAAAATAGCCTAATCACCAGCAGGATTACCCAGACAGGCGATAACGGCAGCTGCTCTGTATACCGTTGGATCCATCTATACAGCAGGGCACTTCCAGGTTCCTAGAGTTTAGTGTTCCCCACTGAACCCTCAGAGAGGTTGAAATTGGGTGCTTTGATAAGCAGAGGCAAGGACTCACACAGGCTATGTATGTATTATCGAGTCGTGCAGTGCAAGCAGCTGGTTCAGAGAACCTGACTATGGACATCTCAGGAGGGATTACTTAGGAGTATCTCCAGTCTGATCCACTGGACTGCGCATCCATTAATGGTCAGCCCATTTGCTGTGATTCTGGAGCTCACCTTCGACTTCAGTTTCATTTGAAAAGAATTCAGTTTACATGCTCTGAGACCATGCTGCAAGACAAACCACAGCATATTAAGAAGGGATGACCAAGAGATGTTATCCAAACCATAAACCCAGTGACTTTCTCAAGGCTTGTTGTCTCAAATCTGCTCAACATTGCAGGCAGGGTGAAGGCTTGTTTTTTGCCTGATAAGCAGTTTCACTTTCTAGATGTCACGAAATTCATCTTACAATTTGTACATTTTCCAGGTTGGAAAATAATGTTGCAATGCTTGAGAGTTACCAAAGAGTGGTAGTTTAAGCTCTTAATAGTATGTAGTCTGTTGATGTTGTTCTCCAGAAAAAATAGAAATAGATTACTTGGGGAACAGATTTCACTTGGCTAACTTCCAGGTTAGGTGCTAGGTCGGTTGCAAATTTAGGTATGGTCAGTTAGCATTGACTCCCAGACAAAGCCTGTGGGTAATAGAAAGGTTCGTCCCTGCCTTGCTCCTTGGTGCAGATGCTCCCCACAGGCTGTAAAACCCATCACAGTGACATGAAATGGCTTTCAGCAAAGGTCTGAATCACCTGCTGTAGGCTGTGAAGTCTCACTTTCACATTGTAACAGGATTAAGACATAGTAATAGGATGGTGGAAGAGAGCTACCACTGCTTTAGCATACGTGGTGTCTGTTTTTCAAGGATTTCTGCCCTCTGATTTACCAGGCTGCCCCTTTCATTAAGTCCAATTTAAGTTAAGGGTTTAATATTTATCTGTTCTTAAAGAGAAACTACTTGCTGACAGAGCCTAAAAGCAATAGCAATAAATAACAGCTGGAAAGTCAGTTTCTTCACAATAAACGCTTTGTACTGCTGCTAACTTGCACAGTCTAAACATAAATTGAGGTATCCAAGCCCTGAGAAAACTGCAGTTCAATCCATGTGAGGCTCTTCTCTGCTTTAAGCCAAGGTTGAAATTAGAAAGGGTAAAATAGAATTGAGAAACTCAGATTGTCAGCAACAATTTTGTAGCTTCATTTTCTACTATATTCATATGGTGAATATACTAGCAAATGGGCTCTGGGTTTGCATTTCCTTCTAGTCTTGTGCAGCAGGACATTAAATAATATCATTTGCGGTCTAATCTGCACTTTAATACGTTTTCTTCACTTGCTTAATTGTATTAATGGAAAGAGGAGGATGATCTTGTGGCGAGGACACAGTACTGGAAGTCAGGTGATCCGGGTTATATTCAGAGTTCTGCCACAGGCTTCCTGTGCAGCCTGCTGTAATCAGGTTTGCTAATATATAATACAAAGGTAATGACATTTCCCCTCCTTACCAGGGTGTTGTGACACTTAATTCATTAATGTTTGTAAAGTGCTTTGTGCTCCTTGCTTCTAAATGTGCTCCTTACTGTAATAATGTATTATGGATGGTATTAAATTTGAGAATAATGTTACTTTAGTGCCTGTGCACTTCAGTTGGCTGAAGTGTAGTAAAGACCATTATTTTCATGTATTTTACAAGCTACTGGAATTTTTTAGATGACTTACTTGAAATTTAGCTAATATAGTTACAGTTACAAAATATACTGTGTCACTACTATGCCTGCTTCTTATTTTTTTCTGTCTTTTCACTATGATGAAATATTTAGCAACAAGCAGCACTGTCTTGTTCAGACTAAAAGGAGGAAGAAAGAGCTTGGCATAAATACTCTAGCTGCTTGACTTCCAGCTCTGCTACTGAGCCTGCTCTCTACCCTGGTAAATCACCAAACAGCTCTGTGTCCCAGTGGAAAATGCACAGAAAAACTGAGGAAGAAATTAAGTAAAAAAAATCTGGGGATATGAATAAGGGGAGTTTTAGTGTTTACCTAAATTGCAGCAGCACTACAGGACCAAGCAACTGTTTAATTTATGTAGTACAGTTAAAAACAAGACAAAAACCAGTTCATTAACAAAATCTTTGAAGGTTTGGCAATGCAACTCCCAATAAATTCACTACAAATCACACAGCTAAATTTCTATATTGCCCAGGAAAATAACTCAGCTAAAATTGTCTTAATGTGCAATACAGTATGTTTGTTAAAGCAAATGGAAATTGTGCATAGAAGTGAAAGTAGAATAAACTGCTGTGTTTTTTAAAAACAAAAGCAAGAGTACTATTAATATTCATTGTGCATATCTGGATTTTTCAGAATCTGTAGTTCACTGAAATTCTGCTCCTATATGAAATCCAATGCTTACCAGACAATTATAATACATAAAGCTATCTGTTTTTAATAGCCAGTGATATTTACATCAGGTGAAGAAAGGAATTACAGACTTACCATAAATAGAAGCAATTCATTCAAGGCTGTACAATGTTTGTCAGGCAGTAACCATGCTGCTGGTACAGTACAAGAAAAAGCGTACATGTCCCCTTACAAGCACTGTCCAACATTACATTAGTAGGAAGAAAGGAAAGCAGCTGACACTTACTATCAATATAAAAGTTCCCAGGAATTCTGAGAGGGCTTCTTTAACCAAGCTGTTCTTCAAGGCAAATTTCTCCTTTAAGGTTTTTTTGTTTTTCCGGCTCATTTTGGCTTCCTCTATTGCTCCGGTGCCCTAGTTACAAATACACACAAAATTTGCTCTGTATTCGTCCCTGCTTCAGCTGAACTTTGACACTTTTACTTATACATTGAAATATGAGATTTCATCTTGCACAGCCAGTGAAATCATCTGACTGCAGGCATTGACAGAACCAACTCAACATGCCCTAACAATTCATCATGAGTTTTCCATCCTGTGCCTTCTCTGAGTACCCTTCTATTTATATTGGTTAGATAATACCAGTAAGTTCACAATCAGAACGCTCCTTTTTTTCTTGCAGAACGGATTAATCATTACCTTTTCTGCTATGTTACTTTTTTTTCCCGGTAAAAATGAATAAGATGTTGTTCTTGTCACCCTGATAAAAAGAAAGAAGCCACAAAATAAGGAACCAAAATATTGTTGAAAATTTCTCTCTGACCTAGATTGAGATTTAGACCATGCTACTATTGGCTGTCCAAAAACTTTTCAAGGGGAGGTTGCAAAAGAGAGTGAATGCTTGTGAGAATGCTATGCTCTACCCTATAAACAAAAGCTCCTACCTTGTCACTTCTGAGGGATTTCAGTGGCTAATGAGGAATCTTACCTTGGTGTAGCACGTTGAATTTGTATATTCACTCACAATACTCTTTTTGGACTAAATGCCTTGCTCTCTAGCGACCCACCCTGTTTAGAAAAGAGCAACAAAGCAGAATAAATTAGGAATATTTAATGAAATCTGTTTTGGTCCAGTGGCTCCCTATAATGCAGTACAGGCAAGTGAGGCACTGAGTGACTATATGTCTCCAACATGTTTAGCTTAAAAATGCACAGGTGCTACAATACAAAGCATTATAATGTTATTTTCCATGGTCTTAAGACATAAAGTTGCTGAATATCTCAAAGAATTGGACCTCCTAGAGAAAAATATTACACTCTTAATCATCTTGAATGGTTTTATCGGATATGATACTGACTCAACTAACACACCATCTGGTTGATTTACAAGTATTTTCTGTCGTTTGACTTTACACCAAAACCTTAGCCCAGTTCTGGTAGATTATTTTGGCATGTATTGTAGATGCTCAGTGCCTTGGTTTGTATCTGTCCTAACCCTTTTTCACCTTGGTAGTAAATATGTTCAGGTCTGTCAGTACTGTTGTCTGCTGTGAATAGGCAGAGCTTTACAGGATCGGGTGAACGGTGCCTTGCCTCATGCTAGGACCTGATGCCTGTTCCCTGAAGCTGTAGTCACCACCACCAGTTTCATCCCTTCACCACCCAGTTCACCCCCCCCCACCAAATTTTAATCCCTAACTGCTTTTCCGTCTCCTTTTACTCACCTTTTTCTACTTCTGCATTCAAATACCACTCTGCCTTTAGCTGATTCAGAAAATGCTGACCTGTGGAAAGCCACATAACTGATGAATTATGAGATGATTGTATCTGTTCTGGTGCTGCATGAGTAGGGTGAGCACCTGCGCAGCAGCAGGCACGCTCTGCTGTAGGAGTGCTACAGGACCTGCACTACAGGGCCTGCCTGTAGTGCAGGTCCACACTTGTGCAGACAGCTGGGAGCTGCCGCTGGGAAGCCCCTGAAAATAGCCTGTGTACAGCACTTTGAAAACCTTTACCCTACACCACTGCAAAACAAAGATATTATGCAGGACCTTAATTATCACAGCATGCTAAAGTATATGTTTATTATGTCTGTGAGAGAGGTCTTTCAGAATTATGTATACAGTAGAACTGAGGGAGGATGCTAGGGAGGATAAACCGTTTCCTCTCTTCCAGGAAAATGAGAAATAGACAAACACATTTAAGAAAGCAATATTTAGTTGTTTGTCCATATCAGTTCTTTCTCTTATGCAGATGCAGGTCTCCCTCACAAAGCAGCATGCAGATACCTCTTAGTTTAGTCTCGTAACAGGTGTGAAGACATTAATGCTACTTTTCGAGTAACAATACGGCAGTAGCATGTCAGAGATCAAAACCCCTACTCATTTGTCCAGATCATGTTGCCTTCCTTGTAACAATTTTCTGTCTTTATGGGGTGGAGAACTGACACAAATATGCATATTTTACATTTGCTTTCTTCAGATTTTATAGAAATCACATGATTTAACTCCATTAATAAGAACTATGATGCTAACTTAGACCAAAGGTTCTCCTCAGCTCCATAACCAGATTCAAGCAAATGCTCTGAGAAAGTATAGAAGAACAGAATACATAAGGGATGATTGCTTTCTTGGTAAATCCTTCCAGCTTTTGAGAATTGGCAACTTAAAGTCACTGCTACACTTTAGAATCATTTTCAAATACAAAAGGGGGCAAGACAGAAAATTTGAATTTTCTCCTTTTACTGTATTCAGGAAGACGTTCTAAAGACATTTCTCAAATCTAACAAATATGTACATGGCATTACAAGAAAGACAAGTAAAATGTAAATATAAACACCATGAAATCTTTGACCTTAATTACTAACCCATATGATCCATGCTCCGTGTTACTGCCTTTTAGTCACATGCAATGGACCACCTGGTTGACCAATGGAAAGAAAATACACTGTGAAGGCAAAAGCCCAGCTAGAAAGGCAAAAGCCCAGCTGGAACTTAACCTGGCCACTGCTGTAAGGGATAATAAGAAAAGTTTTTATAAATACGTTAACAGCAAAAAGAGAGCCAGGGAGAATCTCCATCCTCTAGTGGATGCAAGGGGGAATATTGCCACTAAAGACAAGGAAAAGGCAGAGATACTCAATGCCTTCTTTGCCTCGGTCTTTAATGGCCCGACGAGTTATCCCCAGGGTACCCAGCCTCCCGGGCTGGAAGATGGGGACGACGAGTGGAATAAACCCCCCCATAATCCAAGAGGAAGCAGTCTTTGACCTGCTATGCCACCTGGACATCCACAAGTCTATGGGGCCGGATGGGATCCACCAAAGAGTGCTGAAGGAGCTGGCAGAGGAGCTTGCCAAGCCACTCTCTATAATTTATCAGCAGTCCTGGGTAACAGGGGAGGTCCCAGATGACTGGAGGTTGGCAAATGTGACGCCTGTCTTCAAGAAGGGCCGGAAGGAGGATCCGGGGAACTACAGACCTGTCAGCCTGACCTCAGTACCGGGGAAGATTATGGAAAGGTTCATCTTGAGTATGCTCACCAGGCACATGGAGGACAATCAGGGGATCAGGCCCAGCCAGCATGGGTTCATGAAAGGCAGGTCTTGCCTAACCAACCTGATATCCTTCTACGACCAGGTGACCCGCCTGGTAGATGAGGGAAAGGCTGTGGATGTTGTATACCTGGACTTCAGCAAAGCCTTCGACACAGTCTCCCATAGCATTCTCCTGGAGAAGCTGGCAGTTCATGGCCTAGATGGAT